CTCTGCCTGCTCCCCCTTGGCAGCTCGGTGGCTGTCATCCTCCAGAGGTCATTGGACAGTCAGGCTTGTGCTTTCAGTGACAAACTTGTTGGGACTCACGGGATGGGGGTGGAGCCGGTTCTGTCCTCCCCATCCCAACAAGACCCCAAGTCATCACCCATGAACGGCCTCTCTGGCTCCTGATCAAGCTGCTTAATGGCCATGATCCCAGAGACTCAGAAACAAATCTTGAAACCCACCGGCTTTTGGCAGAAATGCGTTTGGACCCCGCAGTAGGTTACTGTCGCCGGTCCACCCCAGGGGGGAAAAGGTGCTGTCCCTCCGCCTGCTCCCCCTTGGTGGCTCGGTGGCCGCCATCCTCCAGAGACCATTGGACAGTCAGGTTTGGGCCCACAGTGACGAGACATTCTGGGCCTCACGGGAGCTGGTTCTGTCCTCCCCACCCCAACGAGACCCCAAGTCATTGCCCACGAACGGTCTTTCTGGCTCCTGATCAAGCTGCTTAACGGCCATGATCCCAGAGACTCAGAAGCAAATCTCGGGACCCAGCATGTTTCGGCAGAAATCCCTCTAGATTTAAGTGTTAAAATTTTGAAATTTTAAAATTACGTGGCCATTACTGCAGCCATGCGACATCATATGTTATTCATAACCAGCAATAGAAAACAAATTGTCTACTGTTGCCTTTTCAGCAGATCTGAGTGTTGGGGTAAAATCTCAAATAATAATGGTGGGTCTGGTGTCAAAATATTGAATGTGATCAAATAGAGAGAGAGAGTAATGTGGAAATCATCTGCCCCACGGGTAAGGGGAGGGTGTGGGATGAAGGTATACTGGGGTTGTTGGGGGTGGAGAATGGGCACTGGTGAAGGTACGGGTGTTTCATTGTATGACCGAGACAGATCCGAAAGCTTTGTAACTGCTCTCATGGTGATTCAATAAATAAAATTATAAAAAATGAAAAAAAAAGTAAGGTGGAGTTTATACACAATTCAATCAGCTAACCAGTGGCTGAATAAATAGCAGTACTCCTACATAAAAAAAAAAGGTACAGAGTGACTGAATGTATCAGGCAATAAAATGCAAGTAAATGGTTTCATATGAAAAAGAAATGTTAGGGCCTGAGCAACAGCAGGGAGGGTGCTTGCTTTGCACCCAGCCAACCCAGGTTTGAACGCCAGCATCCCATATGGTTCTCCGAGCACTGCCAGGAGTAATACCTGAGTGTAGAACCAGAAGCGACCCCTGAGCATTGCTGAATGTGACTCAAAAAGTTAAAAAAAAAAAGTTAAATGGTAAAAATCAAAATCCTCTTTAAAAAATAGAGTCAATGGGTTGGAATGATAGTCAGCAGGTAAAGTGCTTGCCTTGTATGCAGCTAACCTGGGTTCAATCCCTGGTTGTAAGAAGCTGAAGCTTCTTACAAGAGACACACTTGAACTCTCACCACAACACAGATTCAGGTAAAAGACTGAAAAACAATCATAAAAGTTAATGGTACACTAAAATTAGGGATGGCTATACTTACATCACACTAAATAGCATTTAAGTTAAAAAAAGAGAGAGAGAGGGATGGAGATATTATATACTTGTTAAGGGATCAATAGGTTAACCAAATAAAGTTACAGAAAATTTTATAAAGCAAGTTTATGATAGATTAATGGCAACACAATAGTAGTGAGTGAACTGAACATGCTACTCATAATTGGGCAGAAAAACCACACAAAATATCATTAAGGAAACAAGAGCTGTAAAAGATGACTAGTTAGAAACTGGTATTAATGAACATGTAGCACTGTAGCACTGCACTGTCCTCTTGTTGTTCATCGATTTGCTCGAGTGGGCACCAGGAATGTCTCCATTGTGAAACTTGTTACTGTTTTTGGCATATCAATTACGCCACGGGTAGCTTGCCAGGCTCTGCCATGTGGGTGAGATAAGTTTTGGTAGCTTGTCAGGCTCTCCAAGAGGGATGGAGGAATTGAACCCGGGTCTGCCACATGCAAGGCAAACACCCTACCCGCTGTGCTATCACTCTAGTCCTAATGAACATGTACCTGGATTAATTCCACCACTATAAAACCCAATATAGGAGCTGGAGGAATAGTACAAGAGTTAAAGCATGTGTCTTGCATGTAGCTGACCTCATATTGATTCCTGGCATTATAAATGGTCCCCTGAACATTGTCAGAAGTCATCCTTGAGCACAGAGCCAGGAATAATCCCTGGGCACCACCACATGTGGTCCTAATCTCCCCCCTGGAAAACACTCAATAAGTGTTTTTTATTGAATGTCAAGTACACTAGTGAGGATATAAAAGCAAACTAAATGTTCAATGACAGATGAGTGGATTAAAAAACTGTGGTATAGTGGCCAGAGTGACAGTACATAAGGTAGGGCATTTGCCTTGCATTCAGGCATCCTGGGTTCGATCTCCCAAGAATTGCCAGGAGTAATTCCTGAGTGCAGATCCAGGAGTAACCCCTAAGCATTGCCTGGTTTGACCCAAAAAAGAAAAAAATAATGAATATTTATCAGGGGTTGGGGTGGGTGGAGGGTAGCTGAGATAGAGAGGGTGCGTTATGACAACATTAGTTGAAAATAATCACTATGGACCAGAACTGAGTGTTGAAAGTAGGTAAAGTAGGTAAAGGGATATACACATGATAACCTTTTAGCATCCGCATTGCAAACTATCACTCTATCACTGTATCACTGTCATCCCGTTGTTCGTCGTTTACTCAAGCTGGTGCCAGTAACGTCTCTATTACTTCCAGCCCTGAGATTTTAGCAGCCTATTCTTACTCATCTTTCCCCAATGATTGGAGGCTCTTTCAGGGTCAGGGGAATGAGACCTGTAGTCCTTACTGGTTTTGGCATATCGAATATGCCAAGGGTAGCTTGCCAGGCTCTTGCTGGGCTCTCCAAGAGGCATATATTTATATATTTCTCCTGTTATTTGTTGCCTACTGTCTGTACCCCATCAAATATGGTGTGGGTAATTATTGAAAATGGGTAGGGTAGGAAGTGTCTTATAATGTGTTTGCGACCACATGGTCCGGAAAGCGACCTGGAGTGTGGCGGCAGTTGGATAGTGGAGGTTGGCTGCTGGGGCTGGGACCCTTGGGGCGAGAAGGGCTCTCACCCACCCCACTCTGGGGTGCCCCGGGTGAAAACTGCCTGAAATGGAGTCTCACTGCAAACCATAATGCTTAAAATGAGAGAGAGAGAGAGAGAGAGAGAGAGAGAGAGAGAGAGAGAGAGAGAGAGAGATCTTCCCTAGGGGCAGGCTGGGGTGGGGGGTGGGGACTTGGTGCTGGGAAATTACACTGGTGGAAGGATGGGTTTTGGAACATTGTATGACTGAAATCTAATCATGAACAGCTTTATAATGCTCTATCTCATGGTGATACAATATAATGAAAAATTAAATTTAAAAAACATGAACTTTATTGAAATGTTAAATAAAAAGCTGTGGCATATACACATAGTGAAATGTTATGCAACTATGAAAAAATATAAAATATTGCAGCTTGCAGCAACTTTGAAGCAACTGAAGGGTATTATATTGAGTGAGATAAGAGGGAGAACATTACTCAATGATCTCATTCATCTGTGGTTTTTGGAGAAACAGAACACGGGAATAGATAATACCAAATGATTACAAATCTTTGGCCTTTGATTGTAGAACTGAGAGGTGTGGTGGTGGTGGTGAGAAGATGGACTAGTGTTACCATAAACACGGTAGTGGTAGGTCTTAAGCACTTTGATGTTGGTGAGGGTGTAAAGATAGATCGAGGGAGTGAGAGAGAGAGAGAGGGTACCTGCCACAGAGGCAGGCTGGGGGTAGGGGGTGGGGGATGATGGGAGGGAACCTGGGGACACTGGAGCTGGGAAATGTACACTTGTGGAGGGATGGGTATTGGTATACTGTATGACTGAAACATAATCATTAACAGCTTTGTAAGGGTCTATCTCACAGCGATTCAATAAAAGTCAAATACATAAATGAACAAATAAAATAAAAAAGACTTTATTAAAACTACAAAAGCTGGGGCTGGAGCAATAGCACCGCGGGTAGGCATTTGCCTTGCTAATTCCTGAGCGCAGAGCCAGGAGTAACCCCTGTGCATTGCCGGATGTGATCTAAAAAGCAAAAAAAAAAAAAAAAAAAAACCCACTAAAAAAGTTAATGCTATTGTATTCATATTACCTGAATTATAAGTTAAAAAAATCTTTTAATATATGTCAGACTCTGGAGGGCCATTTCATCCTAATTCTAATCCTAAAACTCTGATGCTCTAAAAGAAGTAGCAATTATCTACTATTGTGAGATGTCCCACTTAATTTTGCCAAGTTGAATTTACAGAAGTGATTTACCCTTGCACATTCAGCTAGTTAATGACCTGAAACAATACTAGAGTATCAACAATACTGATATAAATTGGGATGGTGAAGGGAGAGAGGGCATATTGAGAAGAATTTTTACGAATCTTCAGAATCTTCAGTTCTTTTAATTACAAAGTAATTAAAAATAGCTTCAATGCTCACATTTGAGAGGCACAAATACTCAAATTTAATATACTCTAGATTTTTCCCCCTTTGCTTTTGGGGCCACATTTGAAGGTGCTTAGGGACTCTTCCAGGTTCTGTGCTTGAAGGACCATATGATGCCAAGGATTGAAACTGGGGTTCACTCATGCAAAGCATGTGCTCAGCCTGTTGAGCTCTCTCTGGCCAAACTATGATGAATTAAAATTGGAATGATAGAGAATATTAGTATGGATCAGCACACGAATTACATAAGAATTCAAGAAACACTGTAATTAACTTCCTGCTTGATGGCCAGGTTGTCACATTGATTTTTGAGACTGAAAAACTTTCATTTGGCACAAGTGAGATGCTCCCTTGGAGCATTTGTTGTAGTTTCTATTTTCAACTCCTGGGGGGAAGAATATACTTTCTGAGAGATCCTTAACCTCCAACCTTTATAGCTCACCTGGTGAGTACCAGTGTCTCTGGAGAGGATGATGATGTCAGGAGACTTCTGAAAAGGGGATCTGTATCTCTATTGGCGGCAGATGTTAGATGGGCTAGCAGCATCACGTTGGGAATCTTGTTGGTGTGGCTGGTAGAGCAGATGCCGACAGTCACCCAGTTGGCTCTGTTATGAAGATAAATGGATTCACCTTTCCTGTTGACCTAAGGCAGAGAATAGGAAGAGAAGTTTCCTGATAACATGCATGGTCCTTAAAAATCTTGCTTATCTGAGCAAAGGAGGAATGGAAAAGAAATGAGTCATGACATGTTGGTTCATTCAGTTGTTCTTGTAAATTCTTGGAGTCATTCCACCTTAATGAGCAGGCAGACCCAAGTCAGTGACCCTGAGCGTCTGTTAGGAAAGTATAACTTGTGGAGCTCATGCTCAATTCAATCAGCTTAATCAATGGCTGAACAATAATGTAGCAGTACTCTTACATTACTGAATAAAATAAAATAAAAAGAAAGGAGAACTTTTTATTTATTTGTGAGAGGACACTCAACAGTGCTAGGTTATTCCTGGATCTATACTTAGAGGTTATTACTTGGGGTGTTCAGGGACCATATGTGGTGCCAGGGTCAGCTCCATGTAAGGCAAGAGCCTTAACCTCCATGCTATCTCTTAGGTCCAGGGAAATGAACTTCAATAGTATGCCATTATTAGTGTAAGAGGTTTTACCAAGTGTTAAGTACTATGTTAAAATAGGGGCTGAGAGTATAATATAAGCAGTGTCTTGCTGATAAAAACCAACTATCTTTCAGTGCTGGGAATAGAACCCAGGTCTCATGTATGCAAGAAACACACCTTACCATTGAGTCATATTCCTGGCTAACAACTGTCTCTTGAAATACACATATTTGCAATGAATTTTACTGCTAAGTAAAATTAGAGTAAAATAAGAGTATCGCACAAAGAAAAAACAGTTATATGCAATATTCTATTTAAAATTTTACATAGTCAATGGATTTCCACAGATGTCCTCATTAATCTTTGGCAAATTCCTGTGTCCACAATCCGAAGAACATGTAATATTAAAATAAAATAAAATAGTAGAAGTAGTTATTTCTGAGTATTTGTTGCCCAGTTGTTGAATATAATTTAATTGTAAATTTACACAATTTAATTTTTAATAATTGTTGTTTAATGACTGACTTGCCAATGTCTTCCACAGTTTTTAAATAGCTAATTCCAGGACATACCTTTGGCATCAGGCTACTAGGAAAGTGTTCCCTAAGGAAGAATGTCTAGCTGAGACCTGGAAAATGTGGGAGATCAACTGGTTTGGTGAACAAAGATGAGAAGGAAGCCAGAAAGGGTCAGCACTTGGTTTCAATAACTGGTTCAACAACAACAAAAAAGTCATGGAAAAACAAACATACTCAGCGAGGTTTCAGGGATCAGAAAGATGGGTCAAAGCCTTGAGCAGATGCTTTGTATGTGGAAGACCTGGGCTTGATCCCAGCACCACATGGTACCCTGATCACCACCAGAAGGACCAAGCCATAAGCAGCCCAAGAATACTGCCAGATGTAGCCCCTCCATAAACATGAGGTTTTAACTCCCAATAATTATTCCCTATATACACTCATGTCCTTCTTCTTCCTTATTAACATAATTATGATATTGTTCAGTACTCCCCTCACAGGGATGATAGGTGTGAATCCTGATTAAGTTAAACTAGTGATCCCATCACTCCCAGAAGTCTGTGACTGCTTTCAGCAGACTCATGTAATTCACGCATGGCCAAAGAAGCATAAGTGGGTGCCTCTTGGTCTCTATGGAAAAACTTTCTCAGCCCTCACAGGGAGGTAAGATTTATATATTTAATACAATATTACCGAAGCTAAAGAAACTAAAGAAACAAAAATAACTACATCTAAAAATTTAAAAACATTAATGACATTATTTTTATAAAAAGTGTTGTGAGGATGAGATTTCTTTCTACTATATTGCATTTGGGCACTCTTCTGAACTAGAGAGAAATAGAACAAACACAGAAGACTTGTAACTTCTTTTGACATTGTATATATGGGTAACCTGTGCATTGTGGCTTTTTCACTCTATTTAAAATTATTTTTCTTCATTGTGTTTTGGCTTATGTTGCAGAGGTCACATCTGGTAGTGCTGCAGGCTCCTGGTTATTTATATTTAAGGAATTATGTGATTCTGGGGAGCAAACCCAGGGCATTATACATGCAAGGCATGTTCTCTTCCACTTGAATCACATCCCTACTTCATGTTGCTCTTTCTGAGTTTAAATTTTCAGAGAGGTGCCTCTGGCAGTGAATAACTTGTCCACTTATGGTATGGAACTGTTTGGTTTACTGAATGCTAATTACCGTCCCCCCCCCCCCCCAGCATTCATTAGAACATTTCAAAATACTTAGATTTGATTATTTGGAAAGGATGCAAGAAGCAATGCAAAAAATTAAAAATATCATTGATGGGAAAGAGAGAAGTAGGAGGTAAAGTGCACCATCAAATCATGTGTGTTCTGAGATGTCACTCATTATTATTCCCCAAGGATAGAATCACCCCTTGCCTAGAGTGTTCTTTAGGTGAGGGGGTGGCTGTAGTACCCAGGCATCAATTTGTGCATCAATGAAAACATGTGCATTGAAGATAGAGGTGTTTCTGGAGTTTCCCTGTTCTCTGTAGATGTAAGCTGAGGATCAGCTTGAGGGTGTGTTTCATGTTAGCCTTGTCTGTAGCATTTCTGTGACGTTTAAGGGTTAGTCCTATACCACTGAACTTTTCCCTCTATTCCTCTGTTTGAAAATTTAAATTAGGAAGTTTAGAGAAGAATGAGAAATGCTCCTTAATGCAATGAAATGTCTGTTTCATAACGTAGGCACTTTTTTATGAGAAGGAAACTTTTCTCCTAAACACAATTTAGCAATTGTTGTTTATCTTCAGAATTAATCAAAATATATTCATTGTAATGTCTAGCTGTGCGACAGATGTTATTTAAAAAATTTTCTCCAAATTTTTTTTTGTTTTTGTTTTGGGACCTCATCCAGAGGTAATCAAGAATTACTCAGGCAGGTTTGGGGTCAATATGTGGCACTGGGGATCAAGCCTGGGTTGACATTGTGCAAGGTTAATGCTTAAACTCTCTGGCCCTGATCTCTGGAATCTAAGAAAGAAATTATCTAAATACTTTCCTTTGATAGAACATTCTAAAAATCACCATATTCTCTTAATGCAATTTTGGAAAGCTTAGAATATAATGGCAATTATGGTAGAGTTAGGATAGAATTCCTAAATGAGAATGTGTTGGGAAAACTGGAATGAACCATCTTAAGTTATTTATTATTGATTACAACAGTGTTGTCATGGTTTTGATATTCAAAGTTACTGTACCTCACCACTCATAAATTTTTCTTTAACCTTATAAATTCAAGGTGGTTTTAGGTCCTAAAACTGTTCTGCTTGATTGTCTCACACATTCCCTTGTCAAAATGATTCTATCAAACTCTTCAATTGACTTTATGAAGTTTACTGGAGTCATTATATGGTAATTCAGGGTTTAAATATTATTTACCTGAATAAAATTGCTTTCTAACATGGGAGGAGATATAAAAGGGGCATACTCTCCTTCATTCAACATATCTTGAAGATTTGCTGAATCCTGGGAGGATGACATAAACATGTCACTTTGTGTTTTCATCTTTGTGGTAGCCTTCTTATTGCTCTTCTTCATTGTGCTTGATAAAAAACATACAAACATATTAAATATAATTAAAAAGATATAAAACATACAAAATCATATTAAATGGAAAACTTGTTTTACTGACATGATGGAGACTTACCTCTTGCTTGTGAACTAGTGGGTATCTATCTAATCCATGAGAGTTGTTCATCTACTATTGGGTAGAATAGAAGATAAGAAACTGGATATCTCCTTGAAAATGAATTCAACAATTGGACTTCATCTTTCATTACCAGAAATGACAGAATTTCAAGAAGGGAACAAAGTTCCCCAGAATATAATTCTGTTTGTTTTCAAAATACCACTCATCCCTTATCATAGACTCTATGTTAGTTAAAAGAAGGAAGCCTTGTAGATATTTCTACCCTAGTGCTTCCCAGCAGTCTTGTCTTTTCTCTAATTCAAGCTAAAGTGATAAATAATGAATATGTCTTGTTGCTATCCCAGAGTATGGCACACAGATACCACAGCTGCATGATATCCCATAACTTTTGAGACTGCTCATGGGAGCTATAGTAATTTCTCGATACTCTGCTAGTTGGAATTCAGTGTCTCCTTTGGGACAGTTTACACACAAACACAGGAAAACTGAAAGTCAATAAGAGCAAGGGAGAGCTGGAGTGATAACACAGCAGGGAGGGTGTTTGCCTTGCATGCGCTGACCCGGGTTTGATTACCAGCATCCCATATGGTCCCCTGGGGTAGTTCTGGAAAATCAGGTTTGAGCCCACAGTGACAAGACATGTGGGGCCTCATGGGATGGGTCTGGAGCTGGCCCTTTCCCTCCCAACCCAATGAGACCCCAAGTTGCCACCCACAAACGGCCTCTCTGGCTCCTGATCAAGCTGCTTAATGGCCATGATCCCAGAGACTCAGAAACAAATCTCAAAACCCAGTGTCTTTTGGCAGAAATGCATCCAGTCCCTGCAGTAGGTTACTGTCGCCGGGCTACCCCAGGTGGAAATAGGTTTCGTGCCTTGGCCTCTTCCCGTGGCGGTTCGGTGGCTGCCATCCTCCAGAGGTCACTGGACAGTCAGGTTTGGGCCCGCAGTGACAAGACAAGTGGGGTCTCATGGGTTGGGGATGAAGCCGGCCCTTTCCTCCCCATCCCAATGAAAGCCCAATCGCCGCCCATGAACGATCTCTCTGGCTCCTGATCAAGCTGCTAAACGCCATGATACCAGAGAATCAGGAACAAATCTCGGAACCCAGCAGGTTTTGGCAGAAATCCTTCCAGATTTAATTGTTAAAATTTCAGAATGACATCATATGTTATTCATAACCAGGAATAGAAAACAAATTGTCTACTGTTGCCTTTTTGGCAGATCCGAGTGTTGGGGTAATATCCCAAATAATAATGGTGGGTCAGGTGTCAAAATACTGAATGTAATCAAAGTAGAGAGAGAGAGTAATGTGGAAATTATCTCCCCCACAGGTAGTGGGAGGGTGTGGGATGGGGGTATACTGGGGTTCTGGGGGATGGAGAATGGGCACTGGTGAAGGTACGGGTGTTTCACTGTATGACCGAGACCTAAACCCGAAAGCTTTGTAACTGCTCTCACAGTGTTTCAATAAATAAAATTATGAAGAATGAAAAAAAGAATCAGACCAAAAGAGAGCATATATATATATAAAAAAAGAAGAAAACAATTATTTAGAAAAAGAGATGATGAGGAATTAAAAACAATAAAATGTACTTAGATCTTGCTACATAGCAATCACTATAGACTTTGCACCCATTATCTCATTTAATTCTGGTAATACTATGAAGTAGCATTATTTTAATATTTCATGTAACTGAAGCAAAAAAGGGAAGAATTACCTACCCAAGTTTCCACAGTTTTTAAGTCCAACATCAGTATGCAGAAGTCTGATGTTGGACTACTACTATGACTAGATGAACTTCTACCCTCTAGTTACAAGGTTCAACCCTGCCTTGAGTAACTGAAAAGAAGGATGTGAGAATGGACGGAGTCAACAGCATCCATGATGAATAGGAATGGTGAAAGGGAGGAAGAACCAAAAACATACAGTAGGTAACTTTCCTTGTCTTCATCCTATTTTCTCCTATTACTGAACAATTAAGTTCTAAATTCAAAAGTAAGGACAACACAAAGAAGGAATCTTTACTGGTGAGGTCAGTACTCAAGGAAGGCAAGAGGAAAGGGGTTTTCAGATTAGTGTGAAAGGTTAAGGGGCAGAATAGCGCAAGGAGGGCACTCTAGTGGGACAGGGGGAGGTGAAAGAGATGGGTAATCAGTTATAAGCAGATGATAAAATGAGTTAGAAACCATGAAAATCCATACTGACATAAATGACATTAGAGTACAAGTCTGATGAGGAACAGAACATTTAAATAACTCAGACTGAAGAAGACTAAAGAAGACAAAATAAGGAAATACAATTTGAAACTCTGAAATAAATCCTTTAACTTTGCAGGTCATTATTGGGACAATTGGTAAAATCTGACAGATCTCAGAGTTACATTGAGTAACATGTAATGTGTAGGAACTGATTTTTCTGTTTGTTTTTTGTGCCATTCCTGGTTTTGGTTTTGATTTTTGAATCACTCCTGGCAGTGCTTGGGAGACCATATTGGATACAAGGAATTGAACCTAGGTTGGTCGCATGCAAGGCAAATACACTACACACTGTAACATTGCTCCAGCTCCAACATGAACTGATTGGAGGGCTGTATTTTGTTTGTGTTGGAGAATGTCCTTGAACATAGGAAATACTAACTAAAATACTTGGGATTATAGTCATCAAACTGTAAAATATTATCAAAAGGTTTTACTTTTCTTGTAGTATTTATGTTAAGTTTATGATTATTTAAAATTTAAAGAAAAATGCAAGAAATGAGGAAGTACAAGAAGGTAGGGAGGAGACAATTGGAGAAGGAAGACAGAGAAATTCTGAGATCTAAATCAAGAGTACAAAAAGCTTTGCTTAGCCATTTCAGGTTTCCAAAGAGAGAGCTTTGTAACAGCAATGGAACAATTCTCACAGTGATAGAATTCTCACAGGTTAGGGGAAACAAGCACAGAAATGCTGTCATCTTTGTTTTCGCTCCTCCATTACTTACCCAGTAGAACAACTTGCAGACTTACAGAATCAGAGGTCTCAGCAAGTGTTCACAATTGTATTTTTAAAATCTTATATAAGGCATCATTAAAAGAATAATTTTAAAATAACAAGGTATGATGGGTGAAGAAAAGCAAAGATGAGCAAATTTTTCGGTTAGGGTTATAAAACATATCTCAGCAATTGTTTACTCTTTCCAGAAATGTCACGAGATTTTACATTTTGTCTCTCTCAACCCATATACTCTTATCTCTGTCCATATCCTTTCTTGAGATCTACAAGGAACTTTTTGGAACACTGAGTTTTAAGAGGGAAAAAAAAGGAGGAAGGCAGGGAAAGTGAACTAAATAAAAGAGCAAGGGACAGAGAAAAAGTTTAAAAGGAAAAAGCAATGATTTTGTTCATAAAGGAACATACATTAAGAAATGCATCTTACCTCAACTCAGGACTAAGTCTGAATTGTCAGTTGGAAGCAATGTTTTTAAACTTACTTCAGTTTGTGTTTCCTTTTCATGATGCAGTCTCTTGTAAAACAAACAAATAAACAAAATATAAGTGTAGAAAATCTCAATACAATTCTCACTCTTATTTCAAACATGATATCAGTGCCTTAGAGCTCTCTAAACTAGGTTAGTAAGATGACAGAGCACTTTTATCCACTGTTGATGATGATCCTGGACATGTTCTTTTGGTGAGTTGAAGTGGGGAGTTTTGAGTCCATTGTTTATAGTTGGCCTGAACCTGACAAACAGGGAAACCCTGGGTTCCTCTAGCCAATGAAGATATCTGATAATGTGATGAAGTGAAAGACCCAAATAACCTTTCAATAGAGGGCTTTTAGCATCCTGATAATCTTTTTTTTTTCCTGTAAAAAGTTAGAAAAGTTAGAACCATGCAATGCTCTAAACCTCTTCTATCTTCCCATATTATATTTCCTTTCCTTAAGAGTTTTGACTTCAGGAAAACCTGGACCAGGGAACTGCAATTATAATCACTATCAGAACTCAAGTGCTATAAGATCAGCATGAAAAGTGGTATGGTGGGAATACAATGGGTTTTGGAAATAGGTAGATCCAGGTTCTGGATATTTAGACTCAACCTGCTATTTCTCTCACCTTGGACTCATTACTTAACATCTTTGTGCTAAATTTCTTTGTCTATATAAAGAGGATAAAATGACCCAACTAAATTCAGTGTTGGGATGAATGAACACATGGGTGAAGAGAAACACTAAGAACCGTGGCTATCACAAAGTAAACACTTAAGTAATGTCTGTGCTGGTCTACCATACATGACTTGTGTCTAAAAGTATAAACGTACCCATCATTTGTTTGACTGAGTTCCTTTTTGTTCACTGATAGTTTCTTGGCTCACAAACCTCCAATACATTCTAAGAAACATTTATTGTTAACTAACAACTCTGAGGTAGAATGTGCCTTCTGATTTATTTCTGCTAGAGTAGGAGGCAATCAAATAAAATAGTTGTCAGTTGGCTGCATAGGCAGGAACTTTGTCATAGTTGTTTCCACTGTATATATTAATTATGCTACATTTGTTGTATTTCATTGTTACTTGAAATGTGTTCCTGAAAATTGTTTTTGATAGCTTCTGATAATATTAAGTTAGTTCTAGGATAAAACTTGGGAAATGCATGTTAGACACTCGGAAGTCCTAAAGACTACAGGGAATCCTTAAGCTATAAGGAAACTAAGGATGAGGATCGGGCCCCTGGCTCAGTGGTGGAGCACCTGTCTTGCATGAGGTACCTCACATTTGACAGGAACAATGCCCTCTCTCCCAGATTTTTCCAATTATTCTGGTCAACTAGTTGAGACAACAAGACAACCCCACCCTCAATCATACTTGGTAATCCTCAGGGCCTCATTCTGGCTCTAGGCTCAGGAGTG